GTGCGACGTGTGGGACGGTTGGGTACCTTTCCGGCGGCTGACTCGGCCTCTGTTCGCTTGGATGATAAGTTATGGTTTAGCTGATGGTTAAAAAAAATATGGCTTATAAATCGAGCGATCTGGATCTGGATCAGGCTCAGGCTCCGGCGCCGAGCACTGCGTCTCTCGTCTCTCCCCAACGACACGCCCGCGAGCAGAAGCCAGAAGCAGAGCGCCCCCAAACCCAAGGACGCCAACGCCTCGACACGGCCCGCACTGCCTGCTTCTCTTCCCAGCAGCCCAAGACAGGCAGGCAGACAGGACTACAGGAGCCGATCGGCGATCGTCATGGAGATGGAGGTCAGCGGCGCGCTATCATCGTCCGTGCTGTACGCGGCCATCTCCCTGCCGTGCGCGCTCCTGCTGCTGGTGGTGGGCGAGGCGGGCCTCCGCGTGGCGTCGCTCGCGCTCCGCGGGGAGATGAAGGCCTGGTGGCCCACGCGCGCCGCGATGCTCGGCTACCGCGTCGCGCGCCCCGGCATCGACGGCCTTAGCGCGGCGTACCCCTCCGTGTTCCCCGACGACGACGAGCCGCCGCCGCTGCCGGCCGAGTACTGCGACCGCCTCGCCGTCGCCGTGTACCGCCGCGGCGAAGGGGGGGCAGGGCAGCAGGCGCAGGACCCGGACTGCGCCTTCTGCCTCTCGGTGGTCCGCGACGGCGAGGAGGTGCGCGAGCTGCGGTGCCGCCACGTCTTCCACCGCACCTGCCTCGACGCCTGGCTCGTCCGCCCGCGCGCCACCTGCCCGCTCTGCCGCGACCGCCTCCTCCCCGACGAGAGCGACTACGACCACCTCTCCTCGTCGTCGGCCTCCGCCTCCGCCAACGCCTACGCCCACGGCGGCGCTATCTGGCACATGACGTGAACGCGTTCCCTTGTTATTTTGGGGGTTATTATTGCGTTAACCCTCAATTTCGTCGAGCTAGCTGTGCGTGCCATTGGATAGGATTGGATTGGACCATCCGACCGACGGCCCAAGTGTGTGGCTCTGCTCTGTGCCTGTACTCACTCTGTACTGGCCTGTGTATTGGTCCTGGTAAATACTAGTCGGACCCGCAGTTTCGCTGTCATTGCCGTTGGTCGGTCCCTTGATTGCTCATCTCTACTAGTATGACCGTGATAGGAGTTAGCTGATAGGTGATAGCGACGGCTCATCCGCCCGCGCGCGGCCCGCGTCGGACACTGTTGGCTCCCCTTTTGATCCGTTTTTTAGTTTTTTTTTTCAGTCGAAACAGAATTTTTCTCTAACGATAAATGAACCGAAACAGTATTTCGTCTCGTTTTTTCCGCGAATCGAACGCTTTATCTCTTGTGCCGCCAGCAGTCGGCCAGCGCCACTTGTGTCCGGCTTGCTTGCTCGCGGCCGAACGGGAAGGGCGCTCGGCTAGGCGTGCAGCGGCTCGGCGGGACGCACGTAACGTAAGATCCGGGGAAAAGCGGCGTGGCGCCGTGGGGATGGGCACCGCAGCACGGGGACGGGCACGGGCCGCACACCACAACACAAAATCAATCAATTAGTTCAGCCTATCCATTTCATTGGTCGTCGTTTGCACCTGCACCCATCCCACACTTCCCTCCATCACAGTATAATAATAACGTTCTCCGGCACAAATAAAGACAAAGGATATTGGACTTATCCCTCTGTTGCACGTTATGCTGCGCTCTACTGATCAAAGCATAGGATTCCGCAACAAAATTACAGGCTAAACACTGATTGGACTGCATAGTGTTATAGATAACACAGACATGAGCACATGTCATAGTGACATGGAGTGCACTACAATCTCTAACACTATGCAGAGAGTTCAGACATAAAAAAGTAAAAAAGCAAGAGGAAGAGGTTTATACTGAGGACACGCTGCTGCTTGGGCAGAGAATTAAGACGTGATCCATTCGATGGCGATTCCTCCATCTGATTATCAACGGGATTGCTAGCGCCGGACGTCCGGACGCCGGTGTCAGCACCCTGTTTCCCGCGCTTGCACCGCTGTGCGCCCACGTAGGCCCGCGCCGCCCACTCCGACCTACGACACAGGGAAACCGCTCGTGTCTCGTAAGCTTTTCACGCGTATGCAGGCAGGGACATGTTGCGCCCACTCGGCAGCGCGCCAGCAACTGCAGTAGGCAACTGCGGCGAGTGGTCCCATTGCAATATGTGCAAATACAGATGAAACACTTGCAACATACGTCCAAAGCAGTTGAAACATTTGCATTATATGTTTAAAACAGTTGCGAAACACCCGAAAACACTTGAAAGCCATTGCAAACGCATACAACATCCAGATCTATTTTTGCAATATACAGATAAAATACTTGCAACATACGTATGAAACACCAAAAATACTTAAAACATATGCTTGCAACATGCATGTTATACAACATCCAGATAAACTTCTACAACAAAACACTTGAAACATACATCTGAAACAACTGAAACACTTAACATATACTTGCAACATGTGTATATGACCATTGCAACATATACAATATCCAGATGAAACACACTACGTCGGCTCGAAGAGCAGTGGAGAGGGAGGATGGCGGCAAGCAAGCGGCTGGGCGCTGTGAAGAAAGCCGCACCGGAGCGGTCGCCGCGAACCACACTACGTCGGCTCGAAAAACTCGGCGGCGAGTGGTGAGTGGCGGTGGGATGATAGGAAGGCAGGCGACAATGCTCGGGCGCGGTGCAGCATGCCGCCGCGTTTCGGTCGCGATGGAGCACGCCGCTACGGTACGGGCACGGCCGGCGATTCGAGTGGATGCAGACGCAGCGGTCAGAGGAAAGTGACGGAGATTTTTTTTTTAATTTTGAGCAACGCGAGATGGATACGTCCGTACGGATGGCAGTGTTAGGCCATTCACGTGAGTGTCGAGGCCCACCAACATGCCTTCTGACAAAACAGATGCCCTAACCACACTATTTCTGGATTATTAAGCCTTCACAGTGCAGATCTACACGGACACGATCTTTTATTCAACAAGAAAGTTAACACAAGTAAACAACAATAAGGGGTATGGAAACATATAAACCCATTAAATTATATAACATGCGTCTACTAACTTTATCCAAGACCATGTTTTGATCGCATGATTACTTTAGGGGTGAAGTGCATTTTTCAACCCTCAACTTGCACTAAAGTTCGATTTTCAACCTCCAACTATGAAACCAGATACCAGAACCTCCAGTTGTCGAATTCGGACAAATTTGGTCCTCTAGCTCGTTTCAAATGTGGTTTTCTATTATAAAAAATAATAAAAACTTGATTTAATCTCTAAAAATGCACAACTTATTTATTTTAAATAAAAAGATGTGAAACTAATACCATTTCTTCCCTAAAAAATCATTTATTCATTGGTGATCTATTTGGAGTCATTTGAATCATATTTGTTCATATTTTTAATAAACCAGTCCACAGGCAACAGGCAATAAAACAATAGGAACAAAATTAAATAAGTTCCAAAGTATTGTAAATATATTACCAACAGTTGGATAATGGCCCTGTTCACTTGAACTTATCAGCCGTACCGTTTCAGCGAAATCACAGTGTTTTTCTTTCACAACAAATCAACATCAGCATCAGCCGTTTTTCCAGTCAGCCGAACAGGGTCAATATTTTTAGAAAAAATGTTATTGGTTTCTTTTTTTATTTAAAATATGTAAGTTATTAATTTTTAGATATTATAAAACAAGTTATTCTTATTTTTGAAAAATAGAAAACCACCTTTGAAACTAGGTAAATGACTATATTTGTCCAGTTTTAACAATTGAAGGGTGTTCAATATCCGGATTCATAGTTGAGGGTTGAAAACCGAACTCTTGTGCAAGTTAAAGGTTGAAAACGCACTTTACCCTTATTTTAGACATTTTGCTCACTTCTTCTGTAGTCTAATGAGCATCTCCAACAATATTTAAAAAAATACTCTCCAAAATTAGGTTTTTCAACCTTTGCAAAATATATTGGGAGACATAAAAAAGCTACAACTCCAACGGTTTCCAAAATCTTGCGCCTAAGAGATATAAGGTAATTTTACATCAGGAATTCTAAACTATTCTAAATCACACTAACCACGTTTATACTTTATTTGTCTCTTATACATTTGCATCAGAAACCCTATCATATTTTTTTCTTCCCCACATCCTTACACATCTAGATTGGGAGACGCGCGTATTTCTTCCCCACATCCTTACACATCTAGATTGGGAGACGCGCGTAACTTTACACGCATGAGATTGTTTTTTTACCTTTTTCAAGTGCCAAAAGATTGGAAGGTGGGTTTTAGAGTTGTTGGAGATGAGTTTTTTTTTAATCTTTCCAAAATTCCTGGATCGGGACATTCTTTTTGATGCTCTTGGAGATGCTCTAATGATCTTTTTATGAGGTTAGCTAATAAAGTTTACAACGCTTTATATCACCAGAGACTCGAGCTGGTATCCACATGTCCGAGCAGTAAGGTGCACATACTACATAAATTTCTGTTTCTGGTAGTGTCAGCTATGTCCTAAAAGAAATGCTCATCGATATAATAGTAATACTGCTTACAAAATCCATAGCATTTGCCGTGCAGTCCAATGGTCAATTATCTGATCACATGAAAGATAAAAATATCAACATGTGGTGTCAGTGTTGCATGAATGGGCCGCAGTGTTTACTTTTATTATATCCATGGATTGTCAGGTACTCTCCTCGTCCTAAAATACATGAGGTTTTTGACTTTTAGACATCTTGTTTGAGTGTTCGTCTTATTCAAAAATTTTAAATATTATATATTTTTTAGAGGCCGCTAATGCGCGACCCGTCACACAATCAGGGAGCGCGCGACCCCTTCTTCCTCCTCGCACCTCCTCCTCCCTCCCCGTCGAGCACCCCATGATCGTTCTCGATCCCAACCCTCCTCCTCGCTCTCGCCGCCGACCACTGTCCCTCCGTGGCGCACTAGGGTTCATCGGAGCTAAGGTGAACCCTAGCGCGGCCGTGGCGGCCACCTTCTTCCAGAAACACTCTCACAGCTCACATAACTCTCATAACTCTCACAGCTCACGTAACTCTCACAGCTCACAGCTCGCATAGCTAGTTTAGGAGGAATTCTATTGGCTATCAAGGAGAGAGATCAAATAGCTAGTCCAGCACGATCTTCCAGAAACACTCTCACAGCTCACATAACTCTCTGCTATAATATTTTATTATTATTATTTCTATGTCTCACCTAACTAGCTATTCGTAAATTATCATTAGGGACGCCCTCGGAGGCAAGTAGTACGTACCCGCGGTTTTCTTCCACATTTTTTTGGCGGGAGTGGATGAGCAAGTAGTACGTACCCGCGCTTTTCTTCCACATTTTTGGCGGGAGGCGCTTTTCTTCCACATTTTTTTGGCGGGAGTGGATGAGCAAGTAGTACGTACCCGCGCTTTTCTTCCACATTTTTTGGGTACTACTATACTCCTGTTTGGTGCCATTGTCGCATTGTGCGTTCGTCACATGTTTCCAGCTAGTACCGTGCATGCACAGCCATTCCGATCGTCCAGACTGCCCGAACGCACACAGAAGCCCGCTACCGACGTGGTACGGGACAAAAGGAGTTGGATGGATAGTGCATAGCCCTTGCCCTTGGTCCGGTCGGTCGCTGAACCGTGACTCTGCTTCCTGGACTCGACACGTCTTGTGACGGGTGGCAGCAGTGCGGGCGCAGAAACAGGCATCTGCCCATCCAGCTCGCCAATGGCCGACGAGGCGACCGAGCGAATGAAGTAATGAACGATGATGGGGGGCGGGCATTTCTGGGGCCGTCCAGATCGAGATGCCATCACCGCCACCGGTGGATGAGGGGCGGGCCATGTGGGCATGTGGCAGAGAGAGAGAGAGAGAGAGAGGGAGAGAGGGAGAGAGGGAGGGAGAGGATGGACAACTTCTGACATGCTACATTAGGCTAGTGCAGAGGCCGAGAGAGAGAGGGACGGCGACAGTTCCCGGTCCGACGGCGCCGCTGGCGACGAAAGTGACTCAACTGCTGCCTCATTTTCATCAAAAAAAAAAAAAAACTGCTGCCTCATCCACGGGAAGGGACCAAGGTACTTCACTCATCATCCGCCAACTTAGTGGATCTTAACCCTAGCGCACTGTTCGTCTAACCCTAGCTGTTTAAACGGTCGCCGAACGGTTTAAACGACCGCTAAACGGTAGAGTGGCGAGTTTTTTTTAAGAAGGTAAACGGAAAGTAAATGATTAACTGTTTAAATGGTAAAGAGGAGGTCAGACTATCTAAACACCCTAAACAGAACAGAGGTAAATGGTTTTAAACAGACTAAACAACTATTTAAACGATTCTTTAGACAAACCCCAGGTAAATCTAGTTGAGTTTTATCTGTATAAATTTGTATGCTTAAGTTTATTATATATTCATAAATATGTATACTTCATTTATTACATGTATAAAGATGTATATTTGGTTCTTTTATATGCATATAAATATATTTTTTAGATAATGATATGCATATAAATATAAAATATATACTACTTTTTCTTACATAAATATTTATAAATGTTATAATAATTGATTTTACATCAATAAATATGTGTATTTTGGTAATGTTGTGTAAAACCGTTCAGACCATTTTAATCCATTTAAACATCATCTAAACCGTTTAAATGCTAGACGACGTCTAGCTGTTTATCATTTAGTGTTTGAGGATAACACTGACCTAGCTGACTCATGCCGATTCGATCTAGGTTGGGCTCAGTCATTGCCCTAGCGACTCATGCCGATTCAATCTACGCTGGGCTCAGTCATTGGGGACGGCTCCTCCGGAGCTCATCATGTCTAGCAGCAAATCAGCGTCTATCGCGAGGGGGTGTGCGGATAGCAGCACGAATGCTGCGACCGACGACAATGGTGTGATACAGGATGGCCTAAGAAGCCAAAAATTAGGACAGCGTATGTACTATACAATACAATGTAAAAACTTGCCTATTATATAACTCCTTGGGCATGTACAAGGGTAGCAAGATCGTTAAACACTTCATGTACTTCACCAATCTGTTGTTGGATATCTTGAATGGCTTGCTCCCTTTCCTCGATTATAGCTTCATTAGAAACAATTTCATTGTCCAATTGCACCACCTCTTGTCTTCAGAGTAACATGGAAATTCATCAGAAAACTAGAAGAAGAAAAAACAAGAAATAGGGATTCTACAAATTCTTGCAAGTGATGTCAAAGTTTTTTCACATAACAGGTTGAGCCTGAAGGTTATATTACAATGTGAGCCTCGTTGGATGCAAACATTGTTTTTCGATCCACTGCCATCAAACATTATTTCGTTGCTACTCTAAAAATCTCTCTTGTGCAGACATATATACCCTTGTAAATTTACGTTAAAAAAAATAGAGTTTTGCTCAGGTGGACCTCTCCATAAAATTTGCACGAATCTTGAAGCAGGCTGATAATAATTTTTTAATTTATTTCGTAATGGATCTGGTCTAGGCTCAGCCCTACCCATGTCCAAAGTCCAGCCCCTGCCCATCCATTACTTTTGACGTGATCGTTCTGAAATCATAACAGCCGGCGGGTGGCCGCGGCGCCGACCGAGCCTGCCTCCGCCGCGTCGCATCCCCCGTCCCTGCATTCCGGCCCTTTTCTCCTCGACCGCTGCCATGCTGCAGCCCCTGACTCCTCATCCCCGAGAGTCTGCGACCCTTTTCTCCTCTTCTGTCGCCACATACACGCAAATCCTCTTCCCAAATCCTACTCCTATGGTGATCGGTGGTGGCGAGAGCTCGTCATCCTCGGCTGCTCCGTTGTCAAATATCCCTCTATGAAGTCCTCGGCCACGCGGGCTGCGGCACCTACGCTGATGCCTATCGCGGTCGCTGGTCACTGCTGATCCAACGGTGCCGTTGTCATGCTCAAGCAGGCCCACTACGTCGCCAACACCGGTCACGAGACCGAGGCTTCCTAAGCGGCACCTATGCGGCTTAGGAAGTAGCATTAGTTCACTGGTATACTATGTTGTTAATAATTAATGGCGGAGGCAGGCTCGGTAGCTGCGTGGCGCCGCAGCCGCCGCCGTCCGTCGTCGTCCGTCCGCACGATGCGTGAAACAAGCACGCTCGAGGCAACTGGACTGGACGGGGCGGGATCCATCCATAACTATCGGCCTGGGCTGGTCTGGACTTGCTATGAGCATGGGTAGGGTCGGGCCTTGATAATACCCACAAGATGAATTAAATTAAATTAAATTAAATTAAATGTCTACTTTAAGATTCGTGCAGTTTCTAGAAAAGGGTCCATCGGAGCAAAACTGTAAGTTGTCTTCCGGGGAGGGGAGGTGGCGGCTATGGGAGAGGGAGGCGCGGTTAGGGCGTGGGCAGCGTGAGGAGTAAGGCGGCGCTGGGAGAGGGGCGAAAGGCGCAAGAGAGGGAGAAGGGAGAGGGATAGGAAGGAGCCATCGCTCTTCTATTACTTGATTTGATTGATTACATCCCCTAGTATTTATAGTCCCGATTGGACTTGTATTCCAAGCAACCTACGAGAGATCCTTATAGATTGGATTCTCCCTTCCATGACTAATCAAACTCTAATATGGTAAACTAACTAATACTTAGATATGGTAACTCTTTCCGAAAACGACAGCGGCGGGAGTGGCGGCGCCTCTCCTCGTGTGCGCGCAGCCCTAAGGTGCGCTGGAGGTGCCTGGCGCCCCTCCTCGGGCCTCCCTTGGCCCGTTTGCTCTAGGTTGGGGGGCCTCCATTAGGCGTATGACAAAAACTCAAAAAGATATACCCTTGTAAATTAAAGATATGAAGGCATGCCGAATCGGCGGTTTCTCAGGGTGTCCACGTACGTTCTTTTTATTTGGTGTGTTAGATAGAAATTCTACGGCACAGATGAGGCACGTCACAACCAGTCTTCCTCTGTGCATTCCGCAGTAGATAGATGAAGCAACTGCACGCATTAAATGAAGTATGACTTTCTCTGATCGTAGATGGTATACAAATGGACGGTGGCGCGTAACAGGACGATGGATTCTCAACATGCATGATCGGTGCCTAACTACTTGTCGGCACGCATCCAAATACGCGTGCATGCGTACTGCCGGCCCTGGCTTGCTTTGCAGAGCTGGGCCCTACCGTGGTCCTCTCATGAAAAATGGTGCTCTTCCCCTCTCTCTCTCTCTCTCGTAAATGGCTAAATGGCAGGCGGCAGCAGCTCCGCTCCTCCCATCCTCTCTCTCCTCTCCGCGCTCTCGCTCTCTCCCTCGCTCCTCGTCGCCACCGCCGAGGCTCCCCGCACCCTGTGCGCGGCGCAGCGGCGTCCCCCGGCACGGCGCCATGGTGCGCCGTCCAACGCCGGTGGCCGCGGCCGCGTCCGAGCCCCTGCTCTCCCCCGACGCTGGCGGCTCCGGAGCGGCGACGGGCGAGCCGGCCACGTCAGGCCCCTGCGCGGGCGGCGCACCGCCGTGGGTGGCCCCTGGAGCGACGGCCCCCCAGCACGGTTGCCCCCTACGCCACGCCTGGGCAGGCGTGCGCCACCCACGCGGCAGGGCCATCACCGGCAGTACACCCGACCTGGATTTGCGTCTGTGGGCCTGCGTCCTGTGTTTTCCTTCCTTCTCCTTTCTTCATCACAGAGGCAGCCAAGTAGCCAACCCCTAGAGGAGAAGCTTCGAGAACCTAGGGTTTCCCCACCTCCATGGCCATCGCCGCCGCTGCCGCCCAGGTGCATCCCTCGCCGCCGCCGCCAGCAAGGCGCACCGTGGCGTGCACTCACCTCGCCTGGACCGCCGTCATGTGCTTGTTCCTCGCAAGCTTGTGGCTTTTCTTCTTGGGCCTGACCGCCAAGGAAATCGGGCGTCTCGCCTGCGGTGAGGGCCGCGCTGTGGTCACCGCGGCATACAAGTTCGTCTATGTAGCCGAGGTCACCCTTGTGCTCGTACTCCCCTTCGGCCTGCTAGTGGCACTGATGAAGGCCCGCGCACAGGCGGCGGCGGCCACCGACGTTGTGGCAACGAAGGTACGGAAAGGGGATCCATTTTTTCTGGCGCGGTGATGCAAATAGGATAGGTGTCATCTGAAATTGGAAAAAGCTTTTATTGCATCCGCGCAATTTTTATTCGTGATTTGCCTTTGGTTCCGGTCCAGGAGCCTGCTCTGGGGACATCCGGTGGACATGCCTAGGATTTGCACAGTACTTGGGCTTCCTCAGCTTATAGTTTCGTCTCTCCTCCATGCTATACTCGCGACGGCAGCTGCGCCGGTGCTGATGCTCCTTGGCTCTGAAGCCCAGGTGAGTTCCCACATCCTCCTCTTCTCTTGCTCCTCATTAGGCGTTGTAGCCCATCCCCTCTCCAGCAGACGAACGGAATTGGAATGTCAAATTGTGTTGGTTTCAGAAAGGGAACACAGAGGATAAGCAAGATTGCTTGGCTGGGGATTCTTGTTGATCTGGGGGGACAACTCCATCTGCCTTCCTCACCTTTGGGTAAGAAACCTGTGCTATGGTTTGTTGCTCTGTATGCTAGATTTCTGTTGCCTGTAGTTTAAGTGTTCGATTAAATGCCTATTCAAGTTGTGATCCCGACAGCCTCCACAGCCCTACTTCATACGGATCAAATATGAGCAACAGCGTTATCCTAAAATGCTGAAAGGCATGTCTTGGAAAATTAATTTATAGGTGTTTCTTGTTGATGACTGATATCTGGCATCCACTAATAGTGAAAGCTTTATTGAAAATTAATTACTTCCGACATTCACAATCAACAAATAGTTGTATTATTATTATTTTTATTACTCTTGGATTTCTAAATCTCCAATCTTGATTCATGTTCACAGCTGATCTCTCCCAAACTAGTGTCACATGGACACTCACTCATTTCTACTAAAAGGGCGCCATTGCTAATTTGAGCACGAAACTCACCAACCACATAATATGAATGCCTTATCTATTTTGTTGCTTCTTCCATGCTTCATGCTTATAAAGCTCCAATTGTTTTATCATGAAAATTTTTCTGTTGAGACGGCTTTCTGGCTTCTCAACGTGTTTTGGTGTTCACAGCCTATATCTGCACTTATCTTTCATTGCCTCCATATCAATGCTTAACTGCTGGCTTCTATGAAGGTATCTAATACTGAATATGATGAGCACAAAGGAAGAATAGCAATTGGACGGCTGCATGCAGGAGAACTTCAGCGTGGCATGGAGGTCAAGGTATAGATCTGCTCTGCTCGTGCATGTTTTGGCATAATAATGTGGACATGAACATTCCAGTTAGAAAGTTATATAAAACGTGGTAGTATCACAGGCAGGCTCAACCAAAGGAGAGATTGAAATTCTTGCTGAGTGAAAATAACCATTTACAGTGAGGTGTTATATGGTTCTTTACTACATATATGTTGGATAAAGTATTACTGAGTCGATGCCACAATGCTGGTAAATTTCATTTCCAATATAATAAAATGTATAGCATTTTTTATGAGTACCTGAGTTTTGCCTTCTCTATTAGAGACTGGCGCCTTATGATTCATCTCAAATTTCTTGAGGAAGTCTGTGAGTAAAGAAAATCATATATAAGATAAAAGGAACTGCTGGGATTAATTGAGGCCTGAGCAGCCTCCACATCTCTTTATCTTACATTTTAGAAGCTCATTTGGTGCATTCTATTTGGAATTTTATCCTTATAATCCCAACATGCATGTGAGCAAATGTTATGATACAGTCAGAAATTATTGTGTTCTATGTGAACGAACTGATAGCTTGGTGGTCCCAGACTTGCATGTGGGTGTGCAAATATGTGTGGTGGGCGGTGGTTAGATGTGCCCAATAGTGGTGCTCCTCGGTCGAGTTTGTGCCCGGATGCTGCACTAAAAAATGCCCCTCGCTGTATGCAGCCTTCGGGCCCTTTGCTGGCCCAAAGTGATTATGGTTTCTACCTCTCAAACAATGCAGTTGGGGCAGTCTTCCCTTGGGGTTAAGTTTTTTTTATATTTTTGTGTTTGATAAATGAAAGTATTGTGATATACTGGGTCTTCAGATTCAGTTTCTCGTTATATGTATTTCATCTATTGAAGGATCTGAGTCTAGCTCAATCCGTGGAAGGTGTGGCTTAACCCTGCACCACCCAGGTTTGGGTCCTCTTCCACTCAAATTCGGTTACATATTTCTTCTTATATACAGTGCCACATGGTTCCTCCTTGTTGGTCAAGTTTTTATTTCATCTATTGGTTCCAAAGTCTATTAAGTCTTCAGAAAGATAAGGTATACATCCTGAGTCTACCTGTCTGCTTTCCTGATTTTTTTTTCCAAATGTGTTTTTCTGAATATTTTGGTATTAGTATTGCTAATTGCATGGCTCCTGTTCGATAGAGTTAGTACAGGTGCTTCTTCTGCATACATTACAGAAGAAGAAAGAGCTAATATAGATGCTAAAGAATGCTTGGTCATCTATAAGTTGTCACATTTCACTCAGAAAAGTATATCTTCTGAATGTTATGGGTGCAGTTTACGAAGAGTCTGTTATATGCAGTTCTGATCCCTGTTTGCATTTTTTCTGTCTGAGCGTCTTTGCAAGGTTCTGGAGTATATAAATGAAGTGCATTCCTTATGTGGAGTCCTTGGAATCAATTTTGGAAGTACTGTACATGAAGCTCATCCCAGTTTACATCAGAATGGTATTGAGCAGTCAAGAAATATCAGTAATAGCACACTGGAGGGCCTTGCTGCTAAATTTTCTTCACGTGTTATCATATTATTGCAGTAGAGTTTCTATTGATTAAGATGTTTTTCAGGTTTGTACACCAGACGATGCTTGCAGGGTTAGTAAAGTAGGTGAGCTTTTTGTTTATCAGAACTTCAGCCGCGTCCCCGTTGAATCTGTTAGTGCTGGTGACATTTGTGCTGTATGTGGAATGGATGGTATCATGGTAGGTGTCTGTGCATTCATATTCATTATTCAATCTTCCAGTTCATATTTATACTTATAACATGATTCTATATGCTTTGAACTATCCAGATTGGGGAAACTATAGCTGATAAAGTTACAGGAACACCATTGCCCACTATCAAAGTGGAGGAGCCAACAGTCAGAATGTCTTTGTCCATCAATACATCACCTTTTGTTGGATGGGAGGTATGTCTATCCTCCATGGTAACAAAAAATATGTTATATCGCTTCCTAACATGCTCTTCTGTGTCAAGGAGTTGGGAAATCCATAAAATATACCCTCATTACTCCATATGATCTCTTGTACTCTGTATTCGTTGTTCTAAATTCGTGCAGTCAACCTTCTAGAAGCCATAATTATAGATAAAAGGTTTTCTCAGTTTTCACGTTCAAATGGTATTTTGTACGCTTGCCAAAGAAGTACTTTGGCATTGTTATGCTTCAATAGTTTTTGTTAACTACAATAAGGAAACTGATAATCGAAAGTTGTTATTGTTAAGCTAAATTTCTTCTATGTCTTAATGAATTGTGTAAATGATTGCCCTCCATGATAGTGTCCTTACGTCACTTGTGAAATACTATACCATGTTAAATATAATGCAACGGTTTGGTTTATTCTCTTTCAAGAATACTGACAAATTTGTTTCTTCTCATTCCCTTTATTATAGGGGAAATACGTTACTAGCCGAAATCTCCCTGACAGGTTGTATCGCGAGCTCGAAAGGAATTTGGCTATGAAAGTAGAAGATGGGGAAACTGCTGATACATTTCTTGTTAGTGGCAGAGGCACACTGCATCTCACAATATTGATAGAGAATATGTAAGAACTTAAATTTGGCAGTTTCATTAATTCAGTGACTTTTGGTTGTCTTAAGAACAATGTGAGCTTTGCAGGCGGAGAGAAGGATATGAATTTATGATTGGACCTCCAAAGGTCATAAACAAGACAGTGGATGGAAAACTACTAGAGCCTTATGAGGTAGGTCTACACAGTCTCTTCTCTTTGGAAAGAGAAAATTATTTCTTACTTTATTAGGGATGTCTTGGATATAACTTGCAATGTATAACTATGTTTTGTTGTTGGCAGTGCCTCGCAATTGCACGGAAACTACTTGATACAAGTGATGAAGCTATTTTAAAATCTTATGGTTTGGTCAGGTGCATGTCGCTTTCTGCAGGGACTCGTGGCCATCACACCACCTCAACTCGCTCCTATATACTCAGAGCATATTACATCTCATTATATTATTTTTACTATTTTAGTTTAGGTGTAGATTCGATTTACATTTGGTGTAAATTATTTGTTCATAACTAGAAATGGCCAGAATTACTTCGAATAGTTATCTGTTTTTTTTTTTTGCTTTGCCTTATTTTCTATGTGTTTAATTTTGGTTGAATCCGTATGCCTACTATGTAATCTTGCTTTGATGGTCTGCTAATGTGCCTTTCATAGAACCTATCTGTCAAAACTGTCAATTCTACAAAAGACTCCAGCACTGTTCTCGTGCCTTGTTTGATTATGAACCTTTCATCCATCGTCTTTGCAAAGTAAACATTGCTTTTTCCACCCTGCGCATTCCATCTCTTGCAGCGACTTAGAGAACGTATGTAATCAATATCTTTGGGACAGCATTTCTTTCTAAGTGCAGCAAAATGCTTTTCAAAAATAGCAGATCACAGAGAACTTTGTTTTATCTGGAGAAATCGGTGAGTCATCATCAAAGGAAAACTTAAAATGAGTTCCTTTCGAATGCAAATGGTCTTGTTGAGAGGGTGAGGACGCCTCAAGTCCATGGCTGCTGATCTCAGTAGTATTTGGCAGATGAGAAAAACTCAAACTGGAATTCAGTCTGTGTGTTACTTGTTGTACATATTCTTCTGATGTCATGGCATATGATATAATACTGGTGGGCTCATCATCATATACTGCCACGACAACATCTTCATATCCAATTTGGGGTAATAGTAACCGTGCCCCATCATCGATCATATTTGAAGCAGATGAGATATATGTGGGTGTGCGTGCAAGAACAACATTTAATTTCTCTATCACCCCAGGAGACCTTTGAGAACAGGCCCTTCGTATATTTGGCATTGGGTCCTTCAGGATGCTTGTCATACCCCCAAAGTACTCAGCAGATTTGAATGATGGTAGATGCAAAGAAGCTGGAGCTAATCCAGTTCGTTCTCTCTGCCGCAACCCCAGTGTAGAATTAAACGAGTGAATTCTAACAGGGGTTACTATATTGTCGTAGTTTGGACTGTCCAAATTAAAGGATACATTGCCATCAATTTTGGTGAAAGCTTGTGGAAGATCATGCTGCAAATCACAAGACCCAGTCCATGCCAAATTGATATTATCAGAAAAAATCGATGCAAGTGAGGGTAACCTCTCAACAGGTTCCAAACCATCAGTAGATTCAGATATAGGCCACTTTTTCCCTCCATTGAATTTGTTGTAGACTTTGTCAAGATCCTCTGCATCATCCACAGGATGACCCTCCAAACAAATCTCTAAATTTGTATCAGCAACACTGTATTCATTATCATTCAAATGGCCCTCTCTGGATAACAAAGATCTCCTTGGACTTCCTAAAGATTTCCCAATCTCAGTATCCCCAGAAAGCAAATCAGCTTTCCATTCCTGCCTCCGATCCCAAATGTAGGCATCAAGAAGAAGACCACGCCTCAAGCGGTTGAGCTCCAGAATATCAATTGATGTCTGCATGGGGTGATTACTTTCACTCATGACTGGTAAAAGCAATATCTGCAAGAAAAGGGGCAATAAATCAACATAAAATCGCTCTAACTGTAGCGCGGGTGCGCGTGGCTTTAATTTGCATACGGTCTTAGGTCAAACATACAGCTTGAAAATGAAAGCCTACACTATGTTAGTAGGAGGTCTTTAATTTGTGAAAAGACGGCTTTAATTTGTTACCTCCTTTGCGATTCATTTCCAATCATAGCTGGTCTACTTGCATCTGAATGGTTGCTTTTCTTGTAACCCGTTTGTTTTCTGCCTCGAGAACCCTAAGTAAGTCTAACGAGGTCTAAGGGTAAATCGACATAACAAACGCAACGGATAAAGCAAAATGCACGTCCAAAACGCCTTATACGAGTACAACATACAGGCACTCCCTCTCCCATTCTCGACACATCGTTTGGCTCCTACGACCCGACGATTCTTAACATCTATGGATGAAATACAATGGAAAGATTACACCACTAGAGGATGGCGATGAAAAGCACTACTAACTACGGGTACATGTCCCCTAGGACAACTCATCTACTTTGTCAGACCAAACGACTTCATTCTCGACCTCGGTTGGTTCTTCTTCTGCACTGGCTAAGGATCTGTCTCCTCTCATGGTGGTGGCTGAGTTAGGGGAAGCAAGGACTCTACTTCTGATACCTTCGAGGGTGGAAGTGCTGGTGGTACTGCAACACCGGTGGACAGGGATTCCCTCCAAGACCAAGGGTTCCTGCCTTTCTGTGTCAAGCGTCCTACGCTTGGCCCTTGTGACCAGATAAGCATCCTCCAGCTGCTGGGGGTGTACCGATCTTCAGCCTCCTTCAGGGCTTCCGCCATGGCAGTCTCACGACTTTCTGTGGCTGCCACATTGGCGTGCGCCTCAGCGAGTTGCACTTCGAGCATCCTAGAGAAGATCTCGGCTTCCTTGGCTCGGCGGAGGCACTTCCTCAGCTTCGAGGCCTGCCGGTCATACTTCTCATCTAGAGCAATCAAATACGTGGCCAGATGTACCACAGTTGGGCTGTCTTCTTGGCGTCCCGCCCTTGCAAAGCCTCCATGCGAGCCCTTCATACCCGTCGATTCTTTTCCAAAGGTGGAAAGAACTTCATGGGGGTACGAGCAATTGGCTCTTCATAGATCTGGCAAAGATGCCGCAAGGCTTTGCGGGCCACAACTTGGTAGGTGTCGACGAAGCGAAACCCGGTTGCGGTCACATTCCAGGCTTTAGTGATATGGAGGAACTCCTCGCTCTTCCCAATGTAGACGGTGACCTCACATCGCTCAGTACCATGTTTCTCATACTCACGACCCTCATACTCGGGGTGATCCTTGACTCCGAGTTTTTGCAAGGTGGCATATAGGATTTTGGGAAAACCCTCAGTGTTCAGGCAATAGCTGTAAACTGCTCTTGCCATCCTTGGTGGATGATGGTTACAAGGAAGGATCGAGCGAGAAGCTTGCTCGGGAGAAAGGCTAGGTGAGCTGAGACTCACCGAGTGGGGATACCAAGTGGCTAGGCTAGGCCTTTTGTAATGGAGGAGCGGTCATTGGGCCTGGCGCAGTCCACCATTTAGTCTGGCGCAGAGAACAATAAAAGGAAACGGGCAAGATTTTTACGCGCACGAGACGAGCAGTGTCCGAGGCCATTCCCTAAGCTATCCAGAAATTCGCTCAGTAAATTTAAAAGTGCTTGACATCTTCACCTACGAAGGGTGGGTCAAAAGCAGGTGGACACATTTAATGCCTCCCCTCTATGCTACCATCAGATAAAAACAAGTCGGGCAGGTGGACACATTTAATGCCTTTCCTCCTTACCATCAGATAAAAACGATTCATCGACCATGCAGGAACATTTGTACTTACACATGCAACCATGCATCTAAGACACGGCTTGGTTTGTGTGCACGTTGCTCCCGAGGTGGTCGGTGGTTGGGGTTGGTCGCCAACAGGGAGAGAACGATGTGCCAAAAAGCTGAGAACGGTTTCCCTATATGTTGGCAACAGTGCAAGGACGTATAGGACCTGCATTCATGCATATCCTGTTTGTGCATTATAGTGCTATGTTGCTAGCAGATACGCCATCCATAGGTGTCACGCGTGTCTTATTGTGCATGACCTACTCGTTCCTATTCCAGAGTTAGGTCAGCACTGTGGCTTCGTCCTCCGCGTTCGCCCGTGGTTCACGCCTATACTGACCCACGTCTCCTCGTACCCCTTTTCTGCGCTCTTGTCGGACCCTTGCCCTGTAGTCATACTACTCAGTAATGGCACCGCACATCGCTCGCCTCGAACGCATGGAATTTGGTCGATTCATTCGTAGTGATCCCACGTAGGAACCCTAGTGAACCGCGTCAGGACCACATACCGCTCCGCCTTTATAAGCAGAGCCTGGCTTAGCTATTGGTACCACCACTCGGCGCACTTTAGCTCGCTTAGCTTTTCCTTTGAGCCAGCTTTTTGCTTAGCCTTCCTCACAACCACATCCAGAAATGGCAGGAGCCTGGGTTAGTAGTTACTGCCTGAACGTTGAGGGTTTTCCCAGAATCCTGCATGCCACCCTGCAAAAGCTCGGAGTCAAAGATCGTCCCGAGTATGAGGGCCGTGAGTATGAGGAGCAAGGCACCGAGCGGTGTGAGGTTACCGTCTACATCGGGAAGAGTGAGGAGTTCCCAGACCTCACTGGAGCCTGGAGTGTGACCGCAATCGGGTTTAGCTTTATTGACACCTACCAGGTTGTGGCCAGCAAAGGCTTGCGGTACCTCTGCCAGATCTATGAGGAGCCCATTGCTGGTACCCCCATGCGGTTCTTTTCACCTTTGGATAGGAATCGGAGGGCATGGAGGGCTCGCATGGAGGCTTTGTAAGGGCGGGATGCGCAAGAGGATAATCCTACCGTGGTGCATTTGACCGCGTACCTTCTTGCCCTAGATGAGCAGTATGACCGGCAAGCCTTGGAACTGAGGATCTGCCTCCGGCGGGCGAAGGAAGCTGAGATCTTCACCCGAATCCTCCAGGTGTAGCTCGCCGAGGCGCATGCCAGTGCTAGAGCTGCTGAGAGCCGGGAGACTGCCATGTCCGAAGCTCTGAAGAAGGCTGAAGATCGGCATGTCCATCAGTTGTGGGAGGCCTATCTTATCACCAGGGCCAAGCAAAGGACGCTGGCTACTGAAAAGCAGGATGCCCCGATCTTGGAAGGGATCCCTGTCCACCCGCCTGAAAGGAGGACCGGTGTTGCAGTGCCGCTAGCACCTCCACCTTCGAAGGTGTCAGAAGTAGAGCCCTTGATTCCTCTCACTCAGCCATCGCCAAGAGAAGATGCAGATCCATAGCCAAGGCGGTTGAAGAATCCACCAAGCCCGGGAATGAAGATGCGTAGTTCCAAGTAGATTAGTTGCCTTGAGATGCAGTACCTGTAGTAGTAGTGCTGTTCTTCGCTGCCTTCTGGTATTGTACTCTTGCCGTTGTTTTCGTCTGTACTATTGAGATCATCTGTCGTAGGGAAGGTGAATGCTATGTCGTGAATGGGAGACTGGATGCCTGTATGATGTACCCGTATAAGACCATTGGAATATGCATTTGGATTATTTCCCTGTGTTTATTGTGTCCATCTCCTTAATTCCCGTTAAACGTGCTTAGAGTTTTCAAGGACGACGGTAGGTGGGTTACAAGAGAAGTTGCCATTCAGATATCAGCAAACCAATCATGATTGGATAATATAGGACGTTGTATCGATTAACTGTGGATATCCCAGTAGAACACTTGAATCTCTTTAAATCAAATCTGCCGCTGGATTTGAATTCATTGTCCCTTGTTGTGAAGGGAACCCTTGTTGTTTGAATCTTTCCTTGCAATACTCCCCTCATTCTGTGATCTATGACCCCACCACCTTCTGACCATGAAGTTGGTAGTAGTTGCCTGGTTAATAGCTTATGGTGTCGTGACGAAACCGTGGGCTCCCTGTGAAACAGCTGCCACATGGTGACGCTGCTCGCCACGCGCTGGTATCGAGGTTGTTGACCAAATACCTTTACCAAGTTACACCGCCATACCACTTTCAATACAAATATTCGGGTGTTTGAATGAGAAACCAACAACGGGTTAATGAAATAGTATTCTCTCAAAGTAAATAAGAGGAGGTGGTTTCGGAGGAAGCATGTATGTTGCGATCTCACTTCATACAAAGTTTGGCGCATATTGTGGACAAGGAATGAAAGGAAAGAACACCTAGGAAAAGTTAGCCTTGGGTAGTAGGGAATGCTTAAAAAAGCCTGAGTGGATGTCAAGTCCCAGGCACTGTGCCCAGCTCGACCACGCTACGCACGCCGGGTCGCTGTCACCGCGTGCCCCGCGGACGCCGTCGGTGTTGAGCCCATTAGCACCCTGTCCTCGCATGGCCTCGACATCGTGCTGCACTCGCTGTCCTCGTGCACTGTACGCTTCTCCTTTTCCTGGTCTCCGATCCGCTCTTGATCCTTGCCCTCGTCCCCGTACCAGACCCCCTCCCTTCTTTCTTCTTTTGGGGACATGACCACCCGCACGCCTCCCTCGTCGAATAGGCACCATGTAACATGTCATTGATTTGCTGGCCTAGAATAGACACCATGTAATGACAACCAACCCCTATGTTCGTTTACAGTATTAAGACCAATCTTCCGTAACAACACGATGAGAAAACATATTAGACAAATGAGCCATATTTCTTAAGATTTTTCCTATACCAAACACATCCCCCGCAGCGAAGCGCGGGCAGCAATGGCTAGTATACATGACAGTCCACTTATATCAACTAAGAAGCAGCCCAAGCCCTATAGCTTGACCACAAACTCAGGGGCAAATATGCTATGGAACACAGGGTTTAGATGAACGTCCTGTCTTTCAAGTAAATGAGCTAATGAAATAGTTGACAGATATCCTAACATGTATAATTAAACCCACACCTGCCTAATGCACTACAGAGTTTTGAGCTTCCACCTGAC